ATAGAGAATACTTGAAAATACATTTAGGCCTTGGAAAAGATATTGTTGATGATGATGATGATGATTCAAAATCTATAACGATGACGGAATCTAATAAATTTAATGAAGATAATGGTTCGTAAAGTTTAAATATTATTTATTATTATTATTTATTTTATTATTTTTTATTATTATTTATTATTATTATTAATTAATTATTTATTATCATAAAAATTTATTTTAAATTAAAATAAATTTATTTATTAATTAAAAGTTATTAAACCGGATAGCGAAGAAATAGAAGATGCATTAGAGAAAAAATGTTTATTTCCGATTACTTCTTGATGTTATGTATTTTCATAAAGATGATAATGGTATGTAATAATGAAATCCTTGCCTTGTATTTAACACGTATTTTAGATCTAAATATACATCATATTCAATTTATTTATTTATTTTAGATGAAAATGGAACCAAATGGTATATTCCAGATTCATTTAAAAATGAAGATTTATTAAATTTAAGTAATAGAATTGATGTGTACATAGAAGAACCTTTTGTGCCAGCAGAGGAAGGTTGTTCCATAATGGATTTGATTCAAAAGAAAAAACAACAAAGAAAATCACGGCCAAAACAACAACAGTCAAAACAACAGCCGAAAAAACAACCGCAAAAACAACAAAAACAAAAACAACAAAAACGTAGATTGCGAACAAAATATCCAAAACATCATGATGGCAATGACGAGGATAAAAATAGTAATGACGATAATAATGATGAGAATGATGATAATAATGAGAATGACAGTAATGATGAACCAAAAATGAAGAAATTAAAATCTAATAATAATAATGATAATGATAATAATGATAATGATAATAGTGATAATAATAACAATGATAATAATAATAATAATAATAATAATGAAGAACCTATAATTATTATCTGAATAATAAATAAATCAAAAAAAATCGAATCCCAAATAATAAATAATAATAATAATAATTTTTTTTTATTCTTTATTTGAAATTATAATCCAATTTTTATTTTTAAATAACAACAAAAAATTCAGGACTATAATTTCAGATTTGAAGAACTCAAATCGATATCTCTACCTTTCTTATTAACTGTAGATTTTTGGGTACCATCCTTGTCAATAATTGTGACATTCTAAAAATATAAAATATAAAATGTAAATATAAAATATATAATAAATATGTTATTTGTTATTAGATGAAAATATCTACCTTTTGACCTATTAATGTATCTAACATTTTTTTCTTGGAGTGCTTGTTTCCTAATCCAGGATTCATCCTATCAAAGAATCATATTAATTAATAAATAAATAAATATTTTATATATTTATGAAGAGATAATCGATCTGTAAAAGTTATTATCTATCGTTATCTGTATACATACTTTTCAATTACTTTTATCTCACGTTCTCTCATAGCCTTCTCTTTCTTCTTTAATCGTTTTTTCTTGGCATGTAATTGTTTCTTATCATTTGAATTCATTTCAGTATCACCCTATAAAAATAAAAATAAAAAATGGGATTAAATTCTTTAATTCTTTCTTCCTTCATGCTACTATTACTACTACTACTACTACTATTATTATTATACCTTAACTTCTCCTTTTTTCTTATCATATACTTCTTCAGGTGCTAATAAGGTCGCATCGCTAACATTAATTGGTATTACTTCTTCCATAGCGATAGCTGGCACATTTGTAATAACATTGATTTCAGGTTTAGGCTAAATCAACACAAAAAATTAAAAATTATTTAATTTACAAATTTTTCATAATAACAAAATATAATAAATAAAATATTATTACATACCGGCTTCGGTGTATAATGAAAATTACTTAAGGCATCTAACTTGAAACATAAATCCTTAAACATATTTTCCAATTCTTGATGTTCTTTTTTTAATGCTTCATCTTTTTCATTAATCACTTCTCCCGATTCTGTTGTCGTCTTCGTTAGTCTAATGTAATCTTCTTCATAAATTTCCGCCAAAGATTTCTTTGATTTTTCATCTGATATTTCAACTAATTTTGAAGGTAAAAAAGGTTTAAAATTGGGATCACGTTTACGTTCTACATCATCAAATGTTTCCTGAAACAAATAATATAATAATCAATCAATTTTATTAATTTTATTAATTATAACCGAATAACTAACAAAAGAATTGAAAAAAATAATTACATCCAATATTCTCCGTTTGATCGTCTCTTCAAGTTTTTCTGTAAGTTCCTCGGTTACTACAGGGACTGGCTAAACAATGAAAC